GGAAGATTTTACAGATACAGAACATTGTGGTGGGGTCACGTCTGACCATCTGCTTCCCTTTTGTATAGCTATAAAATTTCTTCTTATTGACTCTGTCCCTGGCAAATTTCCTTTCAGAACCCCTCTTATTCACTGTTATAAGCTGCTTTGTGGTCCTTTTGTTGGTCTTGTATTTTCCCCTTCAGCAGGATTTGTGCTGGGTTTTTTTGCATTTTTATAAGTCCTTTATTTTAGTTTTATGCTGTTCTTTATCTCCAGTTGTCCATGGCTGTTTTTCTGTGGGGCTTTTCCCTGTCAGGCATATAAATTGGTTTTGTATTGTTAAATGTTTCTTTAAATATTAAATGTTTCGTCAGTCATTTTACTCATTATCAGATTTTCCCAGTTTACTGTGGACAGTGTTTCATCTTGTTAAAGTCAGCCTTGCCTAAATCTAAAACTCTGAGTAGCTGATTCATGCTTTTTGCTTTCAAACGCTATATTGAACTCATTATGTTAAGATCACTTTGATAAATGATCACACACAATTAGGTTACTGACTAAATCCAATATTGCTTGTCTGATTTGTTGCATTTTGGACATTTTGCTGTAGGAAACTATCCCAGAAATTAGCTACCTTTCTGACAGGTAATTGTCTGCGTCTCCCAATCTATGTTAAAGTTAAAATCCCCCAATTAATACTACACTGGCTTTGCTACACATTTGCCTAATTTCTGTTTTTGTACAATCTCACACTTCTGAGCTGCTTCGAGGGGGTCCATACACAACCGCTATTACAGTTTTAGATCCTTTAACTGTTCCTCAGTTCCACCCATATGGTCTCCGCTGAATGCTTTCCCTCGTTATATTCTCCTTCACCATTGAAGTAATTTTGTTTTTAATCAGTAAAGTGCCTCCACCTCCTCTGCTATTTTCCCTATCCATCCTGTAAACCTTAAATTTTAGTTCCCAATCCCAACCATTCTGCAGTCCTGTTTCTACTACTATATCATAATTTGCAATTTGAATTGGTGTCCGCAACTCATTAATTTATTCCTTATCCTCCCGGCATATTTGGGCCATATATTGTAAGCTGTGCCCCAGTACTGATGCTTTATTCAGCTGTCTATTATTTCTCCCTTGCAGTTTAATGAATACATTTCTTATCGTTTTTGCCATTACCTGCTGTACTTGGAGTGGAATTGGTGACTGTTTCTTTACTCTGTCCTGTAAATTATTTTGAAATTGTATTGAGTTCCCTGAAAAACACACACGCGCACACACATGATGCAAATAAATTTCAAATGGAGGTTCACTAGAAACATATGTTCAAAATTAGATACTTCTATGTGTAAACTTTCTTGCTTGTTGAAGTTGTATTCTGCATAGTAGCATCTTCGTATATTCTTATCTATGCTGTTTGTTTTACAAATAAGCAAAGTTCATCTGAAAATAAAATCAAGGCTGTGTTTTTTTTCTACTTTGACCCCTCTGCTAAAAAGCAGGTCTCCAAGGGTCTAAATGCACATTTAAATGAGGTACCAATGAATTATCTATTAGATTCCATGGTGTATTGGCAGCCTATTCCATCACATAGCCAAGCCTGATCTTTCTAATCCAATATTCAGACACATGCAACTTCTGGGCGATTTTTAGTTTTCCTTCCAAGAGGAAGGAAGAAGGTAATGATAGCATCTTGATTAATTCCATCACTGGAGCAGGTTGGACTTGAACCCAACCCAGGACACTACCACTGTGGACAAGAGACCTATTAGAGCCTGATAATCATAAACTAGAATATTGCTTTCATCTGTATTTAAATCTTTGTGCTTATAAGTTATATTGAATTTGGAGCAAATGTTTGAGAACAGATAACCTTTACTTTAAACCTCACAAAAGCTATCTGCAATATGAATGGGTTACACATGCAATATTGTGAAAGCATTAAAATAGCATCCTGTGGAACTACTTTATGATTCAGAAGCTTGATCCAGTTGAGTAAATGAGAGACCAGGAAAACCCTTTGGTTTGAACTGTTAACTGTTGCTGATTTCCCTGATCTCTGCTGGACTGCTACAAATCACTACACTAACTTTAACATCCTTTGTTTGAGAAATAACGGTAAACCAAGATTACCAATCCTGATCACCCCATGTGATCCTCTGCTGCAGAAGCATCCTGTGATATGATGCACTTGGCTGTGGCGCACCACATGATTCAATAGTTTGCCGATTATTCACTGCAAAGATTCTAGTTTGGCTGGTCAATTAGCCAGAATTTCTGACACACATTGATCAAACCAGATTGTCCCTGGAGAGAGTGAATTAGCATTTAATTAATCCATCTCCACTCTCAAATGCTTTGCAGATGACTCTTGTGGTGCAGTGACATGTCCCTACCTCTGAACCACCTACTCTAGAAGTGTGCAGTGCCATCTCTGAACAGGTTGGTTAGTAAAATATCTAAAATGCTTTGCAGTGGCAGACAGGCTAGAGTGTGAAGGCCACATTTGAAAAGGCTTCTTTGATAAGGTTTGAAGGAAGGGGAGATAGATGAATTGGAGGTTCCTTGGACAAATCAAAGGCCCCTGCCCCCTCCCTTCTTCATTCCTGACTGTTTGCTTTCCCTCTTCCTGCATCTTAGACTACCTGCCCTAAAACCCTGTGACATGTCTCACTCTGGCGGTCATCACTCTTCTGGCTATGCCTCCCGGATGTTCCAGAAGTGTGTGTTGCTGAGTTTTGGCACTGCCGAGATTCCTAGAGCTGCTAACCAATCTTATTGCTTGACAGTTTGAGTTTTTCTATATATGTTCATTCATGGGATGCAGGCTTCACTGGATAGGGCAGCATTTATTGTCCATCTCCAGTTGTCCTTGGAGGTGGTCATGAGATGCTTTCTTGAACCACTGTAGTTCATGTGCTGTAGGTAGATCCACCTGCTGTTAAGGAGGAAGTTCTAGGATTTTGATTCACTGACACTGAGGGAATGATGATATATTTCCAAGTCAGGATGATTTACAGCTTGGACGGGAACTTGCAGGTGGTGGTGTCCCCATGTATCTGCTGCCCCTTGTCCCTCTAAATAGTAGTGGTCATAGGATTGGAAGGTGTGTTTGGGAATTTCTGCAGTGTATGTTGTAAATTATTTACACTACTACTAAGTGTCTGTGGTGAGATCATAATTATGGTGCCAGCTAAGTGGGTTGGTTTGACCTGGATGGTATCAAGCTTCTTGAGTGTTTTTGGATTTCCACTTGTCCAGGTAATGAGGGAGTATTCCATCATACTAAGCCAAATAAAGGAGAGGCTCTGTGGAGTCAGGAATGAGTTATTCACTGCAGGATTCCTAGCCTTTTAGCTGCTTTCATTGTGGCAGTATTTCTATGGCTTGTCCAGTTCAGTTTCTGATCAATGGTTTACCCCCTTCAAGAATGTTGATAATGGGGGAATTCAGTGATGGGAATGAATGGGAAGGGACATTGGATTCTCTCCTGTTGGAGTTGGTCGTTGCCTGGTACAAGTGTAGCGCAAATGTTATTTGCTACTTGTCAAATAGATCATGAAGGAAAAATTCTTTGCCGTTATTTTACAAGAACTCAAATGGGGAATAGATGGGACTTTCTATTTCCATGTGTGTTGACATGTATTCCAACGACTATATTTAGACTACTTACTTTTAATTTCTTTAATGCAATAAACTTCTGTTCTATGTTATAATCAAATCTGCAGTCTGCTGTGCTTATATCTCAGCAAAAGACCTCTGTTAAATTAACTTTAAAAAAATCTATCAAACCAAACATAATTCTGGAATTTGGATTGTAATGTAATAACATCAGTGGGAATCATAAAATTACTGATATTTTTTGTGTTTTGAATTCCATATTCCCACTTACTTGGTTCCTTACCAGAAATCTATTTCCTCCTCAATGATTCCACCTTCACTGCCTTTAGAAGCAAGAGTTCCAAAGTTGAACAACACCTGGGAGAGAGAAAATTCTCCTCATCTCTGTCCTAAAAAGGCAATCCGTAATTTTAAAGAACTGCCACCACCTCCACCCACCACCACCAACAAAAGAAGTTTTGGGGGCTCACACAAGAAGAAGCATCCGTTCCATATCCACCTTATCAAGACAATTCAGGATCTTATATAATTTAATCATTGTCGCCCATCATCTTCTAAACTTGGAAATAAAAACCGAAAGAACTGCGGATGCTGTAAATCGGGAACAAAAACAGAAGTTGCTGGAAAAGCTCAGCAGGTCTGGCAGCATCTGTGAAAGAAAAAACGGAGTTAACGTTTCGAGTCCAGTGACCCTTCCTCAGAATGGGTCCTTCCCAGAACATTTCCTTCTAAACTGCAGTGGAAATGAGTCCAGTCTAACCAAGCTTTCCTCTTTTGATAAGCCATTTATCACAGGTACCAATTTAGTGAACTTCTGAGCTGACTCCAACGTATTTGCATCCTTCCTTCCTTAAATAAGGATCTCAGATCTACAGAGTTTTCAAATTGTAGTCTCACCTGTATTGCTTAAGTATAACATTCTTACTTCTTTGTTCAATTCTTCTTGTAATTAAAATTGGCATTCAATAATCTCTCAATATTTGCTGTACCTGTGTATTGACATTTTGTGACTCATACATATGTTATTTCTATGCATGTATGTTCATAAGCAACATGATAAAATTTAGATTATGTAATCATAACTAAGTTGCTGTTTTTCGGTGATTGTTACATGCAATTGTACTGCCTTATATACTACACTAATAACACTTCGAGAGTACTTCATTGGCTGTAAAGTGCTTTCAGACATCTGATGTTCACGAAAAGCAAATAGTAAATGCAAGTCTTTCTTGCTGTTATTACACATGGGTTTTCAAAAATGTTTTAAATCAACATACGTTATTCAATAAAAATGATTAGAATGTGAATTGTGTTGCATTCTGAACTTCAGAAATGGTTTAATTTAAGCTAATTTAACATTTCTGCATCCATTTGAACATTTTCTTTCTTTCTTTCAGGAAATGTTGGCAGAGTTTGATGCTGTGATGAAATGTCGAGAGCATGAGTTTACACTCCGAGCAGATGAAATGAGTAATGCAGTACTTACCAGTGAACTAAAGGTTTGTGGGAAATTTCCATTGTTATTTCCTATTACATCAAAAGATCCAAAGCTTAACTTTCTGAAAGAGAAATAACATAATGTCAGCTGTCGATTGACTACCTGCAGATCTAGACAGGAAAAGTTTATAATTCAGTCCATTTCCATGCATGTCTGAGCAGCTGTATCAAGGTCTGTTACATAAGCATGCTTTAGACAATGTCCACTTCGGCCAAAAAATAAATTTTTAAAAAGCTTCTCTTCCAAGACTCTGCGAAAATGTTCTACTCCCTTTGCGATTCACTTTGGATGAATTTATCTTGATTTGAATAACTACTTCTGTTTACAAGTTTGGCCTAATATCTGTTTCAAACAAAAATAATATGTAGTCCACTATAGTAATTTTTGCTGTGTCTTAAGTATTATTTGCGATACAGTTTAGTCCTTCAGAAATACTTTTTCATTGATCAACACCTCCTAATAGCATCATTCATCCACTCTGTGTAGCTGTACAAATTGGAGGGTTGACCTTTCAATCCACCAGCAAATAGGGCCAAAGCAGGTTTTTAAAAAAGCCTCTTTAAGCTAATAGAGAAGGAGGAGGGTATGGTGAATGAGATTCATAAATCCAAGTTAAAGGTAAAGGCTAAAGAAAAGAATATCAAAGAGAAACTGAGTGGAACAGAAAGGAACTTTGAGTTTAATGGTAGGAGTGCAAGAAAAATGGGAATAGTGGTTATAAAATGAAGTCACTATCTCTATCTTATCATCTGACTAAGGTATCACTCAGTGCATCTTCAGAAAGATTGAAAAAAATTGTGAAAATAAAAAGTGTCTAATTTCAATCACATTCCTATTGTATTTTTGCATTTCTGTGAGCAAATTCAAGGCAGCATGATTCAATTTCCCAAAAGAAAGCATGCTCTTGCCATAAGGGAAACCTCTGATGCAAAGGTTACTGCAGGAGATCCACGTTTGTAATTTAGTAGAAGACCACAAATTTTGATTCCTTTGGACCTATGTTCAATGATCTTGAGTGACTCTGCTCTCAACTAACTTCTCTACTCCTCTGTCTTTCTGCAACAAACTCTTCTCCTCTTCCCTGTCATATATGAATCATGCTAGATGATATCTGATTGGCATTGAATGTATCATGGAGGAGGGAATGGAAAAGAAGAGATGTGTAATCAAAGAAGAGGAGTACAGGGAAGAGATGACATCAAACTTGTATAATTAAAAATGTTCAATTATGTTTGGCTGATGTAAGGATGGATAATTAGGGTCAAACTCCCGTGAAAATTGTGAATGCAGTTCTTTGTAGTTGTATCTTACAGAATGTCCAAATCAATTCTTTAACAAGATGTCACTTAAAGATAGTAGTATTTGCATATTGCCTCAGCTTAGTCTTAAAAGAATGAGCAAGTGTTTTTGTGTTGCCCTGTAATTGACTACTGCAGGTGAAACTTCTTTCAAACGAGATGCAACTTTTGAAGGAGGCAGAAGCAAAAGTTGCAGAGTCACTTCTTACAGCAGAGAAAACAAACAGTCAACTGGAAAAAGAGCTTCAAAGAAAAGACTGTGAACTGAAAGATATAGTCACCTTAAAAGATGTCAGGTTTGTCCTGGATGATTAAGTTCAAATTTATTAAAATTTCTTATGTTATGACTTCCAGAAGGTTGCAAACATTGTTTGTATGTTTTGTCAATGTATGAGGACTATCCACAGGATATTTTCATTAAACAATTCTGTATAATTTCTACATGAAGTTTTTCAAAGGGCTAGCAAGGTATTTTGGAAGTGATTATGGCAGCCTTTCACCTCTAGGCTAATGGAATGAAAGTCTAAGACTCTCTTTTCTTGAAATTGGTTTAGATCTGCTCATCCATGGCCTTATGTTTCTGAACACAGCTGGCACTAATACTAAGCTGGTCAGATTCCAGAGTGAACTCAGGCTTGATGGCCCGTATGTTTTATTTTTGCAATTTGTTTACTGTGGTGATTAATCACAATGCATTCGTACAAGTGCATCAGTGTTTCTTTTTTAAACAAAATAACATAAGCTTATTCAATTAGAAAGAACACAAGTATGCCAATTTGGAAAGATCTTATCATAAATTGTAAAATGTAAGATTCAACCCTTTTTCCTGGCCGTATCTTTTTATAAAACAATCCACTCCAGTAAAGTATAATTCATATCTTCACAGTTCTTACTGAACTGACAAGATCTCGCACATTTCCTTTCAAGAAGCTTACTGCATATTCACCAGGTGTGATTCCCCAAGATACACAGGCTAACCCAGTGACTTTTGTCTGATTTTTTTTTTGACTGCTTTGAGACTGCTAAATCAACTTAAGATTTCTTTCCAGCTCTGATTCCCTAAAGATTTGCACAAACTAAAATCTGCCCTTATACTGGAATAAATCTGAACTCAACCTGTTGGTGGCCCCTAGCCTCTCCTCCTATCTCTATCTTTCTCTTTTTCTGGATCATAAAGATTGAAGTCAACAATAAACAGTAATTATTTCACCACGTATTTTGTTGAGTCATTTAGCTTAAGTCACACTATTTCTTTGACTGTCTTTGGCTCACTATTCCAAATAGTTTTCTGAACATTTCTATTAAAAAAAAGACTTTCATGGTACTAAAATCCAAAGCCTGCTTACCTCTACTTTACATCCAAGTTTCTAAATAGTAATACAGTATAAAAACCTTCATCACAGTTACAAGTGATCCTGCTTTAGCTTTTAAAAAAGAAATAAAGTCACCATAGTCTTACCAGACCATATGGCTGCTCTCTCACTGGAGAGTGCTGACTGATAGTGGTTGAAACGGAGGGTCACCAAGCCTTGGGCGAGGGGTTGAGAAGGAGCGTGCTTACGGTAAACTCAGCCTGTGCAGGAATTGAACTCGTGCTGTTGGCATCACTCTGCATCATAAACCAGCTGTCCAGCCAACTGAGCTAGTTAGAACCTGATTCA